TGGTCGTTTTCTCGTCACGTTCGGTTCTGTTCAGCTAGTTTATTCGCAGATTAGTTAACGGTCATTCGCTATTTGCAATCATCGCTATTGCTATCACTCATAAATGTATTTTCGAATTTATGTGAATGCCATTATAGTAATGTTCAAATCTATGATAGCGTTCAAAACGGTGCTGATATGTTTGCTCACTCCTCAACTTCTGAATTTTCGTAGCATTTTCCTGTTTCAATTTTCCGTTCTTCCCTTGTGCATCATAACTGCAATTGAACACACTTAGTGAATTGTTGTCAGTAAGAGTCTCGGAAAAAAATCTAACTAATGAAAAATCCTTTTTGCTTAATGAAAAGGATTATTTGATAGCACTTACGAGTGAACGATCATAACAAACATAAAAATAACCTTTTAGAGGTCATTCGTTATTCGGAACAAAGAAAAAATTGCACCGAATAAAACGAATTTATTCGCTAATCCAGCAGATCCATTTAGTTCTTTGTGTTCTTTGCATACATGATAAAGCTTTCTCGCAATTCATTTTTGGAATCTTTTTCGATTATTCGAGATTTGTTTCAGAATTTAATGTAATTGAAAATTGCGTGCAATGTGCATAGAAAATTATTCATTAATCTGATACGTTTCAAAATCCAGATGCAGAAACACAACTATTGTGAAGTGAATCGACCAAGAATGCATTAACAATCGCCTTATGGTAGATGTCCGTCCGTCCATCCCGCATAAGAAAATTTCGAAAGCACTGAGGCGATCGGCGACTAAACTAGTGTTCACACACACACACTCATTAATAATGCATTACTGAGCATGCATTCAGCTCAATGAATATGCTAATGTTATTCAATTGTATTAAACCAAACAACTGATATACGAACTGATGAGTTAATTTGTTGTGTTGCGTTGTTCATCAGTCAATTATCCAACTTTAGAATTACAAACTGACGTGACTGCTTCTTTCGTTCTTACAATTAGCTAAAATCAACAACCAGTGACCATTCCGTTTGCTCTGACTGGACCACTTTTTGCTCTGTTCATACGAATTTCTTTTACATGTTCGTTACATTATGCTTTGATTTGTTTTGTTTTGTTTTGTTTTTTTTTGGTAATGCGAAATGAAAATAATAACAGCGATGTTAAGAATAATAATCGTGATAACAATAACAATAACAATATTTTAATGCTAATAACAACAATATTTATAGTAGCAGTACTAGCGATAGTTATGATAACAATAATAGTCAGAGTGGTAATAATCGTGCTAACGACAATAACAGCAGCGGTAATGAAGATCAATGATTCCGATAATGAAACGTTGAACATTGGCACATATTTCAAGCAGTTTAAAGTTTAAAGTTTAGTCCTGAAACAAACATCAGTATCGCTGCCAAAACATCAGTGAACAATCCACTGAAGAAATCCAATACACTCGAGATTTGGATAAATCAAAAGCAACGATCGGCACTTGCTCTCTGCAAGTACTGTTATCATTCGCATAGCAAGCA